AGAGGTGCAGAGAGCACAAAAACTGGGCAACTGATCAATGGACTCGTGTCCTCTTTACGGATGAGAGTCGGTTCAGAAACAGAAGCGATTCTCAACACGTTTTGATTTGGAGAGAGGTCTGGACCCGGTTTTATCCCAGTAACATCAAGGAAAGACACCGTAACGGTGGTCCTGGTGTTATTGTCTGGGGAGGCATTATGCTGAACGGGCGAACTGAGCTCCACGTTTTCGACAGAGGGTCTGTAAGCGGGCATCGCTATTGTGAGGAGGTACTCCTTCCCCATGTGCGTGTGTTCCGAGGTGCCATTGGCCCAGACTTAATTTTTATAGATGACAATACACGGCCACATCGGACTCTTGCTGTTGAGGTGCTACTGGAAAGTGAAGATATCACTCAAAATGGATTGGCCGGCCTATTTCCCAGATTTAAATCCCATCGAATATGTATTGTATGCTTTGGGGAGACGCATTGCAGTACGCTTACATCCTCCGGAGAACCCCCAACAACTCAAACAGATGCTGATTGAGGAATGGGCACTTTTACCGCAAGAAATGTTGCACCAGCTGGTTCTGAGTATGCGGAGACGGTGCGAAGCAACCATTGCAGTAAGGGAAGGGCATATCTCATATTAAGGAACATCTGCTTGTTGTTCTTCCTCTTGGATAGACAATCATGAGTCACGATACTATGCGTTCAATAAAAGCTTGTTTTGTGTTTTTGATTCCATACCGTATGCATTGTATTACTTTTTCAGCTCCGATGCTTTCGTCATCCTTTACGTACATAATACTCTCCTTCATTTCTGCATTTCATGTCTCTCAGTTGATTTCTCGTGGAGTTATGGCAAAAAACCCTGCTGTTGCTTAAGGTTTGCACACCAGTGTACATGGTGCCGTTGGGTATAGATGCGGTTCACCTCTAATTTTACATAGCTTGGATTTTGACCACCCAGCATTATCTTAGTGAGGTTTTAACGACATACCGTAAGGACTACCGTCGCTACACTGTTCAGCATGACAAGGCAAACCGCATGTTGTCTATGCTATCCTATGTTTCCTCAGTACCGACACAAGGCATGAAACATTGGACGAAGTACTGGATATTTATTTGCTAGCACAGCAACGCAAAGACGTTACACCTATGACTTTAATTAATTAATCTTTCGAGCAAGATGTACTGGTAAAATGAATACGGTCTTCTAACGGCTGTATTTCATAGCGCAGGAATTTTAATGATGTAATTTAAGAAATTTCAAAACGAGTGAAAGAGAATATTTAACAATTATAGATTTAAATTTTCTACGCATATTCTGACTTTGTTTAAGAAAAGTATGTACCATGGCTAAGGAAAGGTTAAATAACCTTGATAATTTAATGCAACATATTTTATTGCTGGAAAACGTGTACATATATACGACTAAACGCAAGAAGGCTTCTCTCATCATGCATCATGCAAGACGATCATGCATTTTAGAAGTTGTTAAACTATAGAAAAAGTGCTTGCATACAAGATTCTCATTTACATTTTAAGGACCTTTAATAAGAAAAGTACCGAAATGATCTAAATAGAATTCACTGAAATAAAGACACTCAATAAGCTTTCCTTTAATTTTAAAATTAAGGAATGAGTTATAAATTATATATATATATATATATATATATATATATATATATATTTGAGCCAATATGGTTTTAAAATCAATCGGCACTTAACATGCTCAAGAATTTAAATCAGAAAAATAAAGTTTACATTTATTTCTGCACTTTTATTAGTTATTTTCCTTAGAACAGGACACTTTCACGAAACAGCTGAGAAACTCCTCTTTTCAACACCTCACCCATTTACAGACAATATGCCATTTACCTAGATTTCGAATAGCTATTTAACGATGACTTAATGATCATTGTATAAAATGATTTTTAAAAAAGAACCCACACATTTAGTCCTTGAGTTTCAACGCAGTGTAACGCAATATGACGATGACAACAGTTTAGACTACTTTCAAAACGATTCCTCTATCAATTATATGGAGGACGATCGGCCATTTGCATGCTTTGTTCGCTATCAATGGATGAACAGCAGCGACGCAAGCGCGGACGGAAGCGGAGCAGACGTTGCGGCACGTTCTCTTGTACGAATTAAAGTATTTGTTTTCCCTCGGAACCCGTTACGGCAGGTGAATTTAATAATTTGCTCGCGCAGTTAAGCGCTTTATTCTGGCGACACGCTAGAATAAATAGCTTATCTCTGTGACAAAGTGACCAGATTGCGCTTCAAACGAAAATGCGTAGCAATTTTTTTTTTTTTTTTGCTAAATAAAGGAGGACATATATTTACGTAGACTCAATGTTTTCTTTTTCAGTAATATAGAAATAAAATAGGCCAACGATATTGAAGGACATCATTTCCTACTCAAACTTATTTACTAATAAATAATTAATTAAAATTTTAAGGAATGAAACAATATACCTTTGCAATTTTAAGTAACTAGAAACTAAAAACAGTGTGGCTGGCTGTTTATATCAATTCAAAATGTTTCCTAAATTAATATTTCTTAAATTTTCCAGACGTGCGAAACATATTTACTAAAAGGAATGCAAGGACGGCTAAAGCAATAGATATCATTTTTTTCACAAAAATAATAATTCTTCTTCTAGAATGATTCTTTTTAATTTTCATCCTGAAGGTTTCAGATCTTTGATTAGTTTGATTCGTAAGTAACATTTGTGAAAAGGCTTTTATTCTATGGTTTTCTAAAATAATCCTTTGTGGCTGCTACTTAGTAGTAATAAAAGAAATCTTTTACCATTTGATATTTAAAATATGAACAATAATTTTTGACCGTTTAGTACGCAATTGGATGAGAAAATCATAATCACCAAGGCTGCTCGTTAACAGTGCTCAGGAGACTAAAACGGTCTTTTTTTAATGAAAATGATAACAGTGTAAAGAAACTACAAAGCCCGTGAAAATTGAGAGAGTAAATGTAGAATATAATTATGAGAATTTTTAATCCATTGGGTTAATCCTGCTCAATTTTTTACTTCCCGCTATGGTATGTATATAATTAAGAGAGGTAATGTTTTCTCTTCAAATCTTTGATAGTGAGTTTTCAGTGAATAAGCACCAATTAGGATCCTCACAACACGTTTTTCTATTTTCAGAATGATTTTTGCTTGCGTCTATGTGTGTGACGAATTTTTGGTCCATGAAACTACTACATTAAACTTCCAAAAATTTCCGTTTTGTGTTTTTAAGCTTTCTGTATTAATATAAAAAGTTGATTAGATTTGGATAAATTTGGTATTTAACAGTCGTTAAATTTGTAGGCAACCTAATGAATGATCCTGCTGGCTCACCTAAAAAAACCTTCATAGTTAAAGATAAACAACTTTCTTCGGATTCTTCTGTAGCGAATGCTTTTGTACAGCATTTCTGTAGAGCTAATAAGAAAAACACTTACGCAAAAATACATTCGTCCAGAATTAAGCAAAAATCTACACACCTGCAATCGGAATTTGAATCTTCTACTGATTCAATGTTTGAGGCACCCATTACTCGAGACGAATTGACCTATGCTTTAAGAAGCCTTCCTTGTAGAAAATCACCTGGTGGAGATAGAATCCATTCTCCACCATCTTGGTCCTAAAGCATTTGAAACTGTTTGGATTTTTTTGTCCAATGGCAGATTGAAAACAATTACTAATGTATCCCAGTTCATTAATTTATACAAGGCTAGATGTGGTGGTCTCTTTTTTATGGAGGCACTTAATAGGTGAGCCACAATCGCCTTTCCTATGAAGGGACGGACAGTTACAACCATGCCTTCTCCGGTATTCGAACCCAGCACTTCGGTATTGCAGTCAGCTTCCGTGATCACTATACCGACTGGGCGGCCTGTTTGTATCTTTTCCAATCTAATTTGGAACACTGGTATTGTACCAGCTGAATGGTGAACTTCTATCATTATTCCCATACATAAGAAAGACAAAGATCGGGATAGTCTCCTTAACTATAGACCAATATCGCTTACTAGTATTATGAGGAAGGTTATGGAGAAAATAATTGTTAGAAGACTTAATTATTACTTAGAAACTTGAGGACTTCTTGCCGAGGAGCAGGCGGGGTTTAGAAACTCCAGATCTACTAACCAACATGTTGCGCTCCTGAGTCAATGTGTCAAGGATGTCCTGGATAATAGACAGGTCCTGACCGCAGTTTTTATTGACTTTAAGTATGCCTACGACAAAGTATAGCGGGAGTGCCTCCTACTGAAACTGTCGGAGCTATGCATTAGAGCAAATCCTTTTAATTGGATTAGAGGCTTCTTGTGCCAGCGCTCTTTCAGAGTCAGGTACGGCAACTCTCTATCGAAATCTAAGATCTTAAAACCAGGTCTCCCACAGGGAGCTGTTAGTAGCTGCTCCCTTTTTAACATCTATATTAATGATTTGATTTATAAAATACGAGAGATTTCTGGCGTTAAGTGCCTCTAATACGCTGATGATTTGGTTTTCTGGGATGTTTCTAAAGAAGAGAACATTGAGAAGCATAGAGACTAAATTCTCTGCTGCTTTGAGTGCTTTGGTGTGATACTAATAATATGGAGGTGAACTTAAATAAATCATACTGCCTGACTTTCTCACTTATGCACCAAATCTTTGGATCTTCAGCTGACATATAAAGGTATCCAAATCCCCTTATGTGATAAATTTAAATATTTGGGTGTAACGTTTGACCAAAAATTAACATGGAAGCCACATGCAGAGGATTTGTCCAACCGTGCTACGAAGAGACTCAGTGTCCTTAAACGCCTTGCTGGGAAAAGGTGGGGTTGCATTAGACAAACCCTGCTCCAAACTTATCATTCGTTTATCCTCCCCTTTCTGACTTACTGCTGTGAACCACTTGTTGTGGCCGTGAAACTTGTACTCTGGAAAAAATCCAAATCAGTGCTTAGATATTGTTTCTGGAGCCGTGAAGACCACCGACTGACGCCATGTTTGTGTTAACTGATGATAAACCTTTAAGAATCGTAATTCAAGAGAAGGCCTTAATTCTCTGGGAAAAGATCATTAGAGTGCCTGGATATCTTTCACTCTGGAATGAAGTTAATCAAGATCTGACTAGAAATCTAAAGACCCAGATGGGCTTTCTACAGAGAGTTTTTCAGTTAAAAAATTCACTTGGTTTAATGAGAACCAGAATTACTTGTTCCACTACAAAACCTGGTCAAAAACCTGGGTCAAACCTGGGTCTTGACCTGGGTCAAAAAGTAACCAAACGTAATACGGATCCCTCTATTTTGAGAGCCTTCGCATTCGAAGTATTAAACATTTTTTACTCTGAGCCAGAGTGCCTTCGGATCTTTACTGATGGATCCCTCCTGTCTGATGGCCCTAATGCAGGTGCCGGAGTTTTCTCTGAAATTTTCTCTTTCTACATCCCTGTAGGCCGAGGTTCTGAGTTTGACAGTGAAATTGCTGCGATTCGCACAGCTCTGTACCAGCTACCATGTCCCCTGGAAAAATTCACAAGAGCTGTTATATTCAGTGGTTCCCGAGCTGCTCTGTTGGCTATCGTTTCACATAAAAATCCCACATCACAAGACATATCGGATTGTCGACATTATCTAAAAAAAACTGGCTTCACTTGAGAAAACTATAGTCCTCCACTCAGTTCCTGCCCGCTGTGGGATTCCAATGAACGAGAAAACCGACTTCTTGGCCAAAAAGGATGCTTTAATCAGGCAGAACATCTCTCGTCCTTTACCTTTCCCTACTGTATCTTATTAAAAGATCTTTCAAAGTACGTGCTCAGGAAGATTTCTATCCTCGTGTTTTTCATAAGTCTTGGAAGAATGCTATCCCGAATTTGTGCAATGGCCCAAGGCGTTGAGTGGCCACTGAATTCCGCCTTGCCACCGGACATGACTGCCTACAATATCATCTTCATAGATTCAAACTTCTCCGATAGCTCTGGAGAGGTGATGGATGCCGCACATCAACCCCATTGTCCTACTCTGCGCAAGACTTTTCTCGCCGAGCGTTACTAGGAGGCAAGAGATATGTTAGATGAATAGACTCTGCTACAGCTGTTTTTTTTTTTTTTTTTTTCATTGTGTGGCTGCATTCTATGTTCTTGTTTTTTGCTGTAACTGTTCATAATCTGCCATTGGAAATAAATAAAAAAAAACAGTCGTACACGATTAAGAACCACATATTAAATTTTGACTATGTCTGATAGAAATGGTGCTTTACTCGAAACTCTTAGCAGATTTTCACAGAAAATATGGAATCGTTATAAAAAGGATTTGGCAAACAGACAAAATTGCTTATCCTAATAATTAATTTAACACATATATAATATTAATTGTTAATTAACATTCATAATTAACATTAGAAATAGCAACATTTATATATCTTTAAATAATATTTATAGATCTGCGACACATATGTCTCTTTAATTTCACCTGTATTGTATCCATTTGATTTCTTGGTAAAACTTGAAGACTTTTATTTATTTCTAAGGGATTATTTATAGCACTTACTTTTTGCCCTAATTGTGCATTTAACGCATTAATTTTAAAGAAATAATCTCTAAAAATTTATGTGAGGAACAACCATTCTTTCTCCCAATGGTGGTAAAATTATAATACATACTGGCAAAACTGAAAATTTCGAATCATTGTTAGTTGCCAGTTTAGGTATTATATTTTTAGAAGTGCATTTTTTAAGTATTTTAAATTTTTTAAACTCATTGCTATTTAAAACATAGAACTGGCAGGAGGTTATGTGCTGGCTACATCAGATTTTTTAAGCCAGAAATGAAGTGGATTAAAGCGAGTGTCTTGAAGATCAACTCAGGATGACCAAATAATCGATTCAGAGTATTTCTTAGTAAGCATTGTGAAGTAAAACTATAAGATATTTTCTCTCTCCTTTTCGCGTGCCTTCGTGGTGTAACTGGAAGCACAGCCGACGCGTATTCGAAGGGTCCAAGATTCGAGTCCTCGCCAGGGCACTGAACATTTTTCATGTCTCCTGCTGCCCCCCCCCACACTTAAAAAAAAAATTAAAAAAAAAAAAATACCTAATGACTCTACAAGGCTTTCGCAGTCAGCTGTGTTTAGGACACTCAAAAATCATTTAAAAACAAGATCTCTTAAAAAAAAAAAAATCTGATGTGTACACCACATGACTTCCTTGTACGGAATGTTAAATTATATGCATTTTTTCTTGCATTTCATTTAAAATTATTGGATTGAATTAAATATGCTTCGCCGACAGCGCATAAACCACAATAGAATAAATGCATTCTTTAAAATTCACTCTAGTATTTGTTTACCATAGCGACACTCTGGCGCTAAATTCACTTAACAGTATTATATTTCGTTCATATTATAACTCATAATGCACAAAATTTATATCATTTAAAGAATTATCTAATCGTTGCCATATGTTCTATTCAAATACTATAATAAAGCTAGAACGATGTATAAAAGAAATTAAGCAAAGAAAACAAAAAAGAAACAGTTTTTCACAGACAATTGAGTATTTCTCATTTAATTAATTCAGTTCTCACTTCGCAAGAAGGCAAAAATACATAAAAACTCAAAATATCTATATTAAAAATTACGAAGTAAATCTTAAACACTTATTTCCTCAAAAAAATTCCAGAAAGGATTAAGCATGATTTAACTGGCAATAATAAATGAAGGCGTTATCTTTGTTGTTGCGAAGCTAAGTTTCTCTAGATTGGCAACAAATCCACTAGTCTGCTGTTTCAAATGTAAACAATCAATGGCTTAGCGGCCATTGATTGTTAAAAAAAAAAAGGCTTAGCGGCACTTAAACAACTTTAAAATTGTTGATAATTCTAAACATATTGCACGCAGATTTACTAAAGGCATAAAAACCTCAACCGGAAGATAAAGACAACATAATTCAATCATTTTTAAAGCAAAAAATGTACAATTTACAAACATATACGAGTAAAACTGAGATCACTGAGCCGGGAAACAGAGTGGATATATATATATAAATATATTTATGTACGTTTGGTGCGGCCGATTGCAACCAAATACGAGGTGCACATCTACATGTTATAGCAGTCCTATATACAAAATGTCAACGTTCTGAGGCTACTCGTTTTTGAGTTATGCGAGATACGTACGTACATACGTTTGTACCGACGCCACGAAAAATTCTCTTCAGGATTAATTTTAAAGCAATTTTATAATTTTTTTGGAGGAAACGAGTCTTTTATTCTGTTCTTACGTACAGATATCACGCAAAAACATCGTTAAATTGCATTCGATAGCGGTCAAAATGGATATTTTCATTGAAATATGCTGCCTGAAACTTTTCGCGATTACAATACTTCCTTTTTACTTCGTACAAGGAAGTAAAAAGCTACGAACTGCCAGCAATGTTTAGGTTTTAAGACTCATCTTTAACGAAGACTGTGCTTGCAATACGAAGCACAGGCCGAATATTATGCCGAAATTCACAGATAATTTTAATGCTTTGTGCAAGATTATTATGTAGCAGCATCGAACCTTGCTGTGAAGAGGCTAAGACAGATTATCAACCGTATAGATCTAGTTCGAGGTATTTAGATAGATTGAAGACGCCGTGCAATTCAAATGAGAGAAACTGCATTTGTTATGAAGAATACGTCGTAGCTCGGCAATGATATCCCACTAACGGCCGAGCGGTAAAGACGCTGAATACTGGTAGTTCGGCACGGGTTTCGAATCCCGGCTAACGGGCGTTTCGCGGTTCTCTCTATGCGTAGCATATATACGAGCCAGTTTTCATTGAAAAGGTCCTCGACGAACGCATTCCTCCCGTTAGGGCAGATAGCTTGCTGTAACTGAAATAAACCGAACCAGGAATCACCATGAATCTCCTACGCATGAATCTTTTCTTAAACAGCTAATAGTCGAATGTTTAGTTTCTATCACATACATTATACGTTCCAGATATTCATCAGTGGTTCTTTGAGTAAACAGTCCGAAGGTTTGGCCTTTACTGAACCTTCGAAATGGTTACATTTGAAAGAACTCGATGAGATAAAGTAAAGGGAGCTCCAAAAGCGTTTAAAGTTTCTTCCATAAATCCTTCTTTAAACAGTCACAACTTACGTAAACCGAGTTCCAAATAGAAGATGACTCACTTCCTCATTGTAAAAGCAGAAAGCTGAATGAAGAAACTTAAAGGTCGCGGTATTTTAGGAGAAAATTTCCAAATTTGTTATCTAAATTAAAGGTTATGAAGTAAACATTTTAAAAAAATCTGAAAGGTTTCGAATTTTAACACTCTTCCAGAAGGGTTTGTTAAGGGTTTTTACCCTCTCGCTTAGCTGGCAGTCTACCAGTCTGCTGTTACACTCACTCCTACTAACATCCTTTTTTTTTTTTTTTTTTTTTTGTCTTTTTAGATTTATAAGTAAACGTCATTTTCTTCGAAAATATGCCATACAATTCAACAGCAAATTTTGAGAAATTCTAAAAGCAACATGGCTGTATACGATAAGAACTCCTGAATAAGCATAAGCGTTGGAATGCATTTTTGTGTTTTTTTCTTCTCAGTTCATATCAGTGTTCAGTTTTCTTACTAAGATGACTTTAAAAAACCTTCTTTGTCTTTTTATTATTAATGTTTTGTGAGTTTATTTTATTTATTAACTATCACGTTCTTGGTGCTTACGCCCCGTAAAATTTGATTCAACAGCACAAATAACAAAATATTTAAAAGCAGCTGGCTTTCGCACTTCTGATAGACAAACTCTCGTGCTGGAGATAAAAATGCTTTTTTTTTGGGGGGGGTACAATGTTCACACGGTTTGCTTTGGAATCGTTGATTTTGGTTTCAAGTTTTAGGAAATATAAAATAAATTATACTCGAAATCTAAATTTTGGGCTTCCAGGTCACCATGTTTAGGTGGAGGACTACGTTATTCAAAATTGGATGGCTCTAAGTACCGTTGTTTTTTCACGATGCGAGAAACATGCATACGTTCATGCAGATTCTCCATTACTTAATTTCCTTAAATGTAATAAATTTCTTTGAATTGGATAGCCTTTGTTGTAGTATAATTGAATTTCTTTAAATGAGATAGTATTTGGTGGCAACAATTTGAAAAGTGACACACGTTTATAGTGGTTCAATGCAAAATGTCGTTTCGGGACTAACATTCCTTTTGGGAAAATAAAATTCTTACTTTAAAAGTATTAATTATCCTTTCATTAGACAAATACTTTAATCGGAAAAACTTGTAAAGTCATTACGTTTTTGTTTTCTTTTTGGAAGCAGGAGACGTGAAAAATGTCCATTGCCTACGCTGGGACTCGAATCTGGAATTCTGGAATACGTGCCGAGTGTGCTACCGTTATACCACGAAGGTGTGTTGGAAGGACAAAGAAAATACCTTATAAACTAATATTCATTTATTTTGCTGCCATGGTTAATACTCGCACGTAGTTTAAGTTAAATGTGAAATGCATAGTTTTTTTAAACGCAGTAAAGGAGCATTGAATTTCCTAACCTATCAAGTCTGGCAAATAAGTGCAACCTCCATTTTTACGACCTTCTGCTTCAGACCATCGTTATTTTCTATTTTATTCTAGCGTAATTGGAGATTAACTGTTCC